ATCCCAATTAAATTTGTCACGTTTTGTTTGCTCACATTTGCATGTACTACGTACAGTGGCTCACAGCTTATTTCGTGCAAAGGTGAACTTGAAATTCAAACTTGCATATCTGACAAACTATAGGAGATATAAAAAAAATTGAAACGCAGTTTTGTTAAGTAGGGCTTAAGCATTTATTTAAGCCCTTAATTATTTTTCAATTCCACTAGATAACGATAAAAACTTAAAAAAACGAAAAATATTGGTTATTTTAATGTCACAGCTTATTTCGTGCAAAAACTTTGGGTACATATAATTTGTAAATTGTTATTTTAAATTAGCTAATTCTTTTTGTAACTCATTGGAGGCGATATCAGCTAATTTACTTATCCCTCCGATGCGTTTCATATCACAGGAAAATACAGTTTTCTATGAATTACCAAAATGCGCTCCGCACGACTATCGAACTGCGGGAATTGGTCCTTTATCATTTTAAAAATGGAAAAACTTGGCGAAATATTACTTAAATAGTTAACCTTACCCTTAGTGCTGTTCAGTAAATCATCCCAAGCTTCAATCGGGAAAATCGGGAGGCAGATATTGGCCGAAATGGTCCTAACCAAATTTTTATTAAGCTTGAGAAGATGTGAATTATCCGGAAAATTAATGTTAATTCAAAAAATTTGGCGACAAAACTAATAGTAAATGTTGGGCATGAAATGGCCTAAAAGTATTCCGTGGAAACCGTCCGCCGTTTATAACGGGAACACATCTTTAAAGGCCGAGTAACCCGGAAAAAGCCTTTCGAAACCAATACAAATCCGAAGTGCAGGCTTAAATTGGCCAAGGAGCACATAATTTCATTCGATTTCGTTCTGGAATGAATTAATTTTCACAGACGAGACCAAATTCAATATTTATGAGGTCGCACCGAGAGCAATATGTTTGAAAACAATCAAATTCAGAGCTCCACCACAAGAACCGATCCCCTACAGCCAAGCACGGTAGTGGTACTCGCATGGTTTGGGCGTGTATGGCGGCAACCGATGTTGAAAACCTGGTTTTCATCGAGGGAAATATGGCTAGAATATGTACCTTCAACTTTGGAAGGATAACTTGCTCCAGATCGCCGATATATTGGGCCCAAAGCGGATTTTCTGACATTACCATGACAATGACCCAAAGCAAAAATCGACTCTTGTGCAAACCAGGATGATATGGAACTGCCCTAATGTGGTGAATCCACTTCCCCAGTCACCAGACCTTATCGTCCTTAAGATTTTGTGGGCGATTCTGGATCTGGGCATCCGCAAGAGGTCGATATCTTATAAAAATGGTCTCAAAACAGCCCCCTTGGAAGAATGGTCCAAGATTCCAACGGAGTCCTCAGAAAAGTTGATTTCTTTAATTAAAACTCTTTTAGAGGATGTCATCAAATAAAGTTAAGACAAAAAAAAATTGTAAGTTTAAGAAAAACCGAAATAGTTAAGATATACTTTTTTGCACGAAATAAGCTGTGACATTAAAATAACCAATATTTTTCGTTTTTTTAAGTTTTTATCGTTATCTAGTGGAATTGGAAAATAATTAAGGGCTTAAATAAATGCTTAAGCCCTACTTAACAAAACTGCGTTTAAATTTTTTTCATATCTTCTATAGTTTGTCAGATATACAAGTTTGAATTTCAAGTTTACCTTTGCACGAAATAAGCTGTGAGCCACTGTATAACAGACACGCTGGTATAACAGTCTAAGGTTAATACCAGTTGCTACTAGCTCTAACCGATTTAAAGTCTATAGATCTTGATCCGGTTTTGCTTTCCTTCAGATACAAATGAAAATGAAAATGCAATAAGGCAGAGAGTCTCGGAGATTTATGCTAATTGCAATAAGCATAAAAAACGTTACAACAAAGCCATACATTATTGATTTCAATGCGGACATTACACTCGAGTTGTTATTAAAAGTAGTTTCCATTTTTTTAAACAAAATAAACAAGGAAGTTATACTTGATTTTAGAAACTTGTAAGTGCCAAAATTAAAGCCAGATATTCAGTCTATATTCATGACTATATTTATGACAGTTTTTGAAAACTCTTAGCACATTTCCCCTAAATATAGGTCGGCGGTGGGTGTAATTACGCTGATATCCATCGCAGACAGTCAATTACGGAGACAATATTCCCTCGGAAATTACGGACAAACAGATTACAGATTACAATAATTAACATAGTTTTAATGGCGCTGGGAAATCAAATGAAATAAACTAACATCACATGCATATATGTATGTATGTGTGCCAGCAGACGTTGCAAAAATAAACTTTAATTTGTGGCCAAAGCAACAATAATAAAATTTACACACGCGCCCCCTTAATCCCATCCCATCCATCTATCCCTGCGACGACCTGACTTTACTAAATCGCGCATTTTCTCTAATGCGATTAACGGTGGCCAGAGTGAGAGGGATAGCAATTAAAAAAAAGTGAGCGAGAGGTAATGGCAAATCCATGCATGCCAAAGTTCATAGCAAAAGTTAGCGAACGAAAGGTGAATGTTTAAAGCTTATAAATTAATTACAATAAATAAATATATAAAAAGTAGTAAAAGTACATAAAACATTTGAAATAATTCGGGGATTTATATTGCTATTGCTAATATTAAAAAATATGTAATTGAATTGAATTATTTGGTTTAAATTAAATTAGATTTAAAGTATAAATCTATTTTTTAAATTGCACTAAATCGGAAAGCTCTGTTTAATTTATTTAAATTTATTAGTGTTAATTTTTTTTAAATTTGATTAGATTTTTTAATTTTATTAATTTTTTTAATTTTATTAATTATTTTAATATTTTAATTTTATTATTTTTTTAATTTTATTAATTTTTAAAATTTATTTAATGCTTTTAATTTTTTTTTTATATTAATTTAAGTTTTTTAACTTTGTTAAATTTTTTAACTTTGTTAAATTTTTTAACTTTGTTAAATTTTTTAACTTTGTTAAATTTTTTAACTTTGTTAAATTTTTTAACTTTGTTAAATTTTTTAACTTTATTTATTACCTTTTAAATTAGTTTTTTCCTTTTCGTTACATTATATTGAATTTATTTATTACCTATTATCATTATTTTTACATTTTGTGTTACCTTTTATTTGACTAATATTATTTACTATTACCTACCATTATATAATTCTTGTTTTTTACGACTAACTAGTCTCGAAGTAAGTCAAAAGCCAATTAACTTTGCAAACTTATTCCGTGTGAAATTAATTACTCGATTTTCAATGTTTGTTGTTGTCCGGGTTGGGGGTTTAGGCTGAGAAAGAGAGACAGGCAGTGGGAGAGAGTGAGAGAGAGAGAGGTGAAAAATAGAGTCGAGAGAATACAAAAACAAATTAAGCCGATGAATTCTATATGAGACTTGTTCATTTATTTATAAACGCTAATTTTTGCTTACTTCCGTTTGTTGATTTCCATGGATGGTGATTTGGTTTTTTTTTTTTTTATTATATGCTAAAAATAGAATTGCAACTGTAAATAGTTGTGGTATAAAAACAAAGAAATTAAAATTACAAAAGCAAATTAAAATTAAAAAGAAAAAAAATTAAAACATAGGTAAAATGACAAAGATTTATAATTGTATTATTTTAAAACAGTTTTTTCTTATATTCTGCTTACAAAATAATATAATTTTTTATGTATATTATTATATTTATATATATAATAATATAAATAATATATGTGTATTTTAATCAAAGCTAAAAGTTGTTATATATTTTAAATTCAAAATGAATTAAAATTTACAACAAACGTTTTCAAAAACAAAAAATGATTAAAATTGTTTACAAGTTAAAATGTATTTATTTATATTTAATTTTAATTATTTTTTATGCTTTACTTAAATTGATTCGAAATCCACAAAGATTTTGGCGATTTATCTTGCTTTAGATTAATTCCGCATTGAATGTCCTTGGCTTGTTATGCGTTTTTGTTTATAATCTCTCATTTATCATCAAGAAATAATTATTATAAAAAACTTGAGGGGCATAACCTTTGGCCCAGAGACCCATTCCCCCTCTCTCACTCTTTTCCCCAGCAGGCCCAGAAAGCGTGGTGTAAAAGTTTTTCTTAATAATAAATTGCTTAACTTTTTAGGTAAACAAAAGCACATTTTGGCGGTAGGGAAGGAAGGAGTAGAGTGTCGGGGGGTAGGAAGAGTTTTTGGCTTTCAACTTGCCGCAGGCTCATCACGTGCGGGTTGGCCAAGTGCAAAAGGGAGACAGAGAGAGAGTGGGAGTGGAAGTGGGAGTGAGAGAAAATGAGACTTACAAGTTGGCCTGTTGTGGAAATTAAAATAATTGTGCCTCTGCCCCTCGGGCGCTTGTAATTATCACCGAGCTTGGCTGCCATAAAGTTAAACTAGTTTTGCCAAAAAAAAAAAAAAAAAAAAACCGAGCTAGTTTTCCCAGAAAATTCATAGACTAACTCCTTTTGTATTGGGCTTTTATGCAAATTATAATTTATGGCAAAAGTTTTGCTTAAATCTAATAATAAACTGTCTAAAAAAATAGCTATTTTTGGGTTATTTATTCATTATTTCCCCACATATCCATAGTTTTGATTTATTTTTTCATTGTCACACACAATTATCCCTCTTCAAACGAGACTTCTACTGGTTTTTCTTATAAACGAGGAAAACCTCCTACTCTTAGCTTTTCTTTCCTACATCTGTCATAATTTATAACCAACAATTGCAATGCAAAGCAGCCTCTTTATATGGAAAACACGCGCACACATAAATGGATAAATTCATAATGTCTAACAGAGTATTACACTGCTCGAAAAGCAGGTCTTAAAAATCTCAAAAATACAGAAATATGATAAGTTGTAGTATAGCATTTAAAAATACTTAAAATTATTATTATTATTAGGAAAATTTAATATTAAATTTAATTTAAAACTTAACCATATATTTCCCACAGTGTACTCAAGTGTTTTCCGTTTTTCTATTCGTTCCAGGTGAGTTGCAAGTGAATGATTTGGACATATTCGTGGTACGTTCTGCAATTTCATGGCTACAAAACAGAACAAAAAGAAAGAAATGTATAAAAGTAAGTCACAGGCTTCATAACGAAACTGTACCGCTGTACAGATTTTCTTTATGGATTGCTTAATATATATAATATGCATATTGAATACAAAAAAAAACAGTCCAGTAAAAGTTGGGGTAAATAATATATTTGCCATGTCTTTGCAAAAGTTTTCGACGCAAATGGCAACGCCCCAATGCTTTCAATTATCGTGTCGTGTCGTGTCGTGTTTTGTCCAGAAAATGTCCTTGGCAAAAAACTTTTCCGCACATATCCTTAGCAAATCGCGTAGTAAAAAGTAAAAATGGTTGGCCAAAGGAAAACGAAGTTTTAATATACTTACCAGTCATTATTAATTAGAATATGGAATTAAAATTGTAATACAAATAAGTAAATTAATTAATATTAATATTAATATTTAAAGATATTTACTAAAGCCTTTGTTAGGATGTACTATATATATTTGCCTTCATGAACCCTTAGGGTATCGATTTGGAATTGAATTTCTACGTCTGTTTTTTGGGGCTAGAAGAGGCGGGGGACGTAGCGGGGGGATAAGTAATGATTGTTCAATACCGGAAACTATTCAATTTCCGCCTGACATGAGGCGTGCACGAAATAGAGGCTAAACAGAGGGTGGTCCTGGCTCTTTAGGCCAGAATTTAGTGATGACAAGTTGTACAAAAGCAAAACACAAGCACAGGACAGCGAAAGCATCAGAACAGCCTCGGAAACCCGAGATCCTGGCACTGACTTTACAAGGTAGTACTACTTTCAATACCTTATAACAGTTAATAATCCAGATGGTTACTTGTTTTTCTTTGATTTGAAGCCTTGAAAATATGTATATATTTTTGAAGAGTAGCAAATTGTTACAATTGCTGTTGTTCGATTTGAAATTTTGTATGTTGGTTAACTTATAAAATCACCAAAACATCGAGAGCACCCATACGATAACGACCATGGCCAATATCAGTATGTTGCGGTTTAACCTCTTCCTCCTCTCTCTTACAATCATCATTTCGACTCTATGTATCAGACCCGGGAATTGCTCAGCCACCTCCAAAATATTCTCAAAGTCATTGAGGTAATCTCTGACATCTTCAATGATCACGAGTCTAAATTCGTACTTCCAGATATTGTTGTTATTCTCTGTGTTATTCCAATATGTCTCCGGATCGATGTTGTGGTCATTGATCATTTTTGCCTCGATGTAGAGCATGCAAGGCTCCCCTTCGACATACGGGACATAGGGTTCCATCAAGATGTCCACAACGAGTGTTTTCTTGGGCCACACAAGCCCCATGTTTGGATCCACTATGAACAAACCTGTTGGCGTGTTTGTCCACAATTTGTAGGCCACCGGTCTGTCGTTGGGATTCAAGAAAACCGCATGCATGTAGACATCGTCCTCCAAGTTGCGATCAAACACCAGGTCACTGGAGAGTGGATATAGTATTGGCATTTTAAAATTCTAATAAAAGAAAAGGACTTTGGAAAGCCGAGAACCTGACCAATGAATATACTGTGGAAAATGTATAAAAATTTACGTTTTCTGTATGCTTTTGGGGCCGGGTCTAATGAAACTGTGAGAATTCTAGAACTAAACGAGCTTCGTTGACACACAGTCCACTCAAGGCAGACTTGATGTTGATCTTTGTGGGGCTGTGTTTAATTCAATTTCAAAATTTTAATAAAATTTAGTAATAAATGTGAAGGTTACAACTGAAAGGGACTTATATTATTAATTTCGTTTATTAATTTTAATTTTGTTTATAAATTTAAATATTTATTGAGGGCTCTTGTGAGAAAAACTAATTAGAAAACTGTAAGACTAACTACTGACTCTCAAGAGATGTGGCTTTTACGGGTTAAATCTCATTTGAAATTCAACCTCAAAAAATTAACAGCCAAACTTTTGTCTTCCTTGAACTTGATTTTTCTTTTATCCCTTCAGTGTGTTAAATTTTTCCTGCTGCATTCGATGGCTTTTCCGCCGGCGGCAGGCAAGTCTTGGGAGCCCCAGGAGTTGACTTGCTTTGTTGATATTTGGTTTTTGTGTTGGGCTTTCTCTCCTTTCACCCGCTTCTTTCCTTGAATTTTCCTGGCTTCCTATTTCCGTCTTTCATCCTTTACCTGGGCGCTAAGCTGATTTTGTCTTGCATTGCATTGCTCGAGGACATGTTGGTAGTAGGTCCTCACTTGAAGGAGTCAATTCTGTTGTCTGCACTTGTGTGAACCCTCACCTTTGTCAGCTTCTGGTGGGGCTTTTGCTCCTGCTCCTGCTCCTTTGCCTTCGTTGCTCCTGCTCCTTGTGAGGTCCCACTCTTACCTGTTACGCTTCGTTAACTATGCGCCGGTATAAAAAGCTTTTGGCTATCAATCAATTGTCCTTATTCAATTATTTAGCACACTTTGCTATTTATTTTGCCACAGGTATTAGTGCACTGTGAGAAAAAAATGTGGAACAAAATAAGGGAAATGGTAAAATTTAAGATATTTTGATAACTGATTAATATAGAAATATATATTCTAAGGTTTTTTAGTTTGATTTGTCTTAACTTTTTAAGATTAAACCTCATCACCAGAATGAAACTTTCTTTAACATTTTTTTAATTTACCATGTTTAAAAATTATTTCTCTCGGTGTTTTTGATATGATAGCATGTTTTTTCATGGCTAACCAAGATGGCCTGAAGTTGTGGTGGAAATTTAAAGTGGTGGTGGTGGGGGGGCAACCAATTTACAGCGATAAACGATTAAACATTCCTGCAGGAATCTCTTCAAACATTTTCCCATAGATCATGGGGATTTGTTCATTGCAATTGCTTTTGGGGGGCCGCGAGAAAAAGCAGGAAAAGCGAAGCCGGAAGTGGCTTGAACAGAAGAAGAAGAAGACGAAGGATGTGGAAGTGGCGCAGCCATTTTGGCCATCGTTTGTTTTACGACTTTTTCTAATTGCCTCCTTTGGTCTGGTCCCGAGGCAACCGACTCTCTAACTTACCTACATTTCCTATTTTGGCCTCCTTCCTCTTTTCTTTTCTTTTTTTTTTTTTTTCTTTTTCTGCCGGAAGGAAGCAGGCAGCTCGTCCTTTATTTATTGGCTCTCTCAGTACCTCTGTCTCTATAAAAAAATACGTAGGAAATTGCCATCGACAAGGAGAAGAGTCCTTGGGGAGAGAGAAGAACGGAAAAACGGTTAGAAGTCAATTGATCAAAACTAAGCAAAAGCCGCATAAAAATAAAGGAAATAGTTAAATTTATAAGATCTAAAAACGAATGGATCAACACAACATGTTTTCTTTAGGTAATTGTAGAGTTTCCACAAACTTTGACAATTTAAAATCTGTTTTTTAAATACAAAAAATTTACCAAATTGTTGACAAATTTAAAAAGATTTCAGAAATCAGACAATCCAAGGGTATGCATGTACTCTAGTCCCATTTCCGCTTTTTCTAAACTTTCCTCAGTGAAGTTTGGGGAAAATCTTGAAGGACCTCAGCTGAGTTTTGGCCGTTGAATGGCATAGGAAATGGTCTTCAAGTGCCTGCCTCGCCAGGATGAGGTTTTAGGCTTGGGAATCCTGTGACAGGATAAAGCGGCGCACAGCAAAGCAAAGGCAATCGGCAGCTGTGACTGCCGAAAAGAGCAGAAGCGAAGAGAAATGCACAAACTCATTGCCATAAAAAAACACGAAACGTACGAAACGAAATGAAATGAATCATAAATATGTGATGAGCTTGGAAGAGGGTTTTGGTAGCAAGGAGATGGATGAACGTGTAAAAAATATGATGTCTCAAGTGAAGTCAACTTCATAAGTTTATGCTACAACTATGTGATGTATATTTATCGCATATTTGTTATCATTTATGCTGGAAAAAAGTTCAACCTGAAAGGGAAATATAATCAAGTTATATCCAAAGCAGGAGAAAAACTTTAATAAAATATACAAATTTACTTAATTTAGTTTAGTTAAAAAGATAATATTATATTCATGCTACTTTCATGTCACTTTTATTGTACATACATCACTGCCAAGTTGGATGCTTTTTTAAATATATATTTTTAATATATCTTAAAAATATTTTCATGTATTTTCATGTTACTTTCATGCCACTTTCACCACTGTCTAGTTGGGGGGTTGCCTGAAATATTTAAGTGGCTTTTACATCTCTCTATATTCTTGGATATTTATAATGCCACAGCTGCTGCTGCCTTCAAGAAACTTTCCGATAATCATCAACAACAAAAGGTCAACCGAGCGAGTGGGCCAGATGACATTGCTATTTCTCTGGGCAAAAGTGTTTACGTCTGGTTTTGTGGTTGTGGTTGTATTTTTTTGCTACGCCCACCACCACCCACCACTGAAACTGTTTAATTTTTAGTTTATGTTGCATAATTTTAGGCGTCCCTTTTGAAAAGAACTCGGGGGAGCCGAAAAGGTTAGAATGAATTTTTTTTGTGCTGACTCCGAGATGGAAACGCTGTCTCGTGGCCCCCCAAAAGTGCTTACAAGACAAGTTGCCTGATAAAGCTAAAGATGATGGGGATGATGACACAATGATAATGGAAGGCGGAGGGACTAGAACGTTGTGGAGATATATCAGTCAGGAGTTGAGGTTTCACAGCTCAATCGGTTGATTGACAGGGCACCAAGAAAAAAAAAAAAAAAAAGGGGAATTGAGTGACTTGTTGATACCCTTGCCTTGTAAACATTGTTAAAAAATATTTAGATTTTTTAAAACAGATTTAAAACTCACTTTAATTGCAAGAACAAATATTTAACATGTTTATTATTAAAATTCGAAATTATAAGACAATGAGGTATGTCTTGTATGGTTAAATTTCTGCAAAAAAAAAAAAGGGGAATTGAGTGACTTGTTGATACCCTTGCCTTGTAAACATTGTTAAAAAATATTTAGATTTTTTAAAACAGATTTAAAACTCACTTTAATTGCAAGAACAAATATTTAACATGTTTATTATTAAAATTCGAAATTATAAGACAATGAGGTATGTCTTGTATGGTTAAATTTCTGCAACACCATGTTGCTCAACACATTCTCAGCTATTTTACAATGCTGCGCCACATGCTCTTAGCTTTCTTACGGTGTTGCGCAATATGTTGAAGCTTTCATACTTGCTTTTTCTTTGATTTTAAGTCGTGATAATATATCTGAAGACCATCATGTTCTCCGCTTTCTTACGATGTTGCGCCACATGTTCTCAGCTTTCTTACGGTGTTGCGCAACATGTTCTCCGCTTTCTTACGATGTTGCGCCACATGTTCTCAGCTTTCTTCCATTTGGTTTGATATGAAGCCGTGATAATATATCTGAAGACCACCATGTTGCTCAACATGTTCTCAGCTTTCTTTCGGTGTTGCGCAGCATGTTGAAGTTTTCTTTCTTGCTTTTTGTTTGATTGAAGCCGTGAAGAATTTTTATGGTGATTCAATTGATAAAAATCACCAAAACCACCAAATCCCCAAGATCACTAATATCAATGGCAGGATCATGGTGAAATTCAATTGCTTGTTCCTCTCTTTTGTGCGCAGATTTTCGACCTTCAATTGAAGGTTCAAAAACTGACGAGTTAAATCCATCACATCCGGAGTGTTATCTGCGCCAACTTGGCGATTGTCCACCGATTCCTGATCAAGGGTAACCAATTCGAGTTCTTTCATCCAGGGGTCATCAGTATATAGGCTCGTCCAGAACCTCTCCAAATCGATTTGAAAGGCCACATCAAGAGCTTCAATAGACAGCTTGTAGTGTTCCCATGTGGCATAGGCGACATTGGGATCCATAATGATGGATACTACCATGGTGTTGTGTCGTTCCACGATACCCATGGGTGGATCCAACAGGAATAGGCCTGGCGGCTTATTGGTTGTTAGCCTAAAAACCACCAGATTGTTGTCGCTGGAGTTTTTGAGCATCAGAGGCTTTTGCAAATCACGTTCATTGGAGGGGTCGAACACGAGCTCCTCAGAGAGTACATCTAGCAATGCCATATCGAGATAAGATCAGATGAGATTCTAAGAAAAGAAACGTTGAGACTTTGGATTATTAAGGTAACTAACAAAAAAAAAAAAAGCCGAAGAAAACTGACCGGTCAAAATTAAACTAACAAGAGAAAGCCGAAAAAATTTGACTGGAAAAAAATTATATGAAATAATACAAATTTACTTTTACAGTCTGCTTCTGATCACAGCTTCAAATCAAGTGAGAAATTTCTAGAACTAGCAGAGGTTCGTTGACACACAGTCTGGTCCAGGGCACACTTGATTTCCCTTTTTCATGTTCATTTACAATTTGTAAATATAAATGGATTTGTTTTATACATTTTCAAAATTTTAAAACACTTTAAGGAAAATCCTAAAGGTTGTTCTTTAATTTTATTTATAGAAAAATCTCGCATTTAACATTAAAATTGATATTCTTCAGATATATATCAGTTTAAAAAATATTTAAAATTGTTTTATACGTCAAATATTACTCTAAAAACGATATATCTATATTTTATATCAAATATATTTTTATTTTTTCCACTAAATAAATTTTAATAAATATAAAAAAATTATTTAAACCAATTTTGAAACCCTATTCTTACCTCAAGCAGCAAATTCCTTCGAAAATATCTCCCCTCTTTGGAACAAAGCAACCTTTCACCTCGTCAGTGCCCAATTTTCGAGGGTATTTTCCCTCCTCGGGGCATTTTCAGCTGGTTCAGTTGGTTTTTGCGGTCAACCCCTGGCTGTGTTATTAATACACTTTATGCTTGTTGATATTATGGTTATGTCGGGGGCATAGGAATTGGAGATGGCGATGACCTACTAGTGGACATGTGTGTGTGTGTCCTATCACAATATTTGCTCTTGTGAAATTGTCGGCCAGAAATTGCGAACTCAATCAAATTTCGGCGAGTCGAAGGTGAGGGCTTTGTGTTTTGTGGATGACCCGGGCTGAATTACGTCAATCTTGTGGCATTATCTCTGGCCAAAAAGGATTTCGGGGGGGTTTTCGGGGCCTGCCAAAATGTCCATGGTCGTTGATGATGATCCAACAACCCTTCAGAGGGTTGTCATAGCGTGTGTATGGGTCAAAGGCTCAATTCAATTCAATTCAATTATGTAGTTATGCCAGAGGTCTTTAGTCTTCTCCGCCTCCTCGAAAGGGTGAATGCACTTTCCCCCAGCAGCAGTTCTCTGGCAAATGCAATTACATCACATATTTATTCATTAATTTTGCCAAAACAATTTGATATGCAAATTTGCTTGGAAGTGAAACAGGAAGCCCGACGACCATAAATCAAATTCATAGCTTGCCGAGCTGGGAAATTGCATAAACACCGGACCCGGTCTTATGAGAAGGATTCAAGGATTTCAATTAGATAAAAGTGTTAGCGTAGCTTCATGAAATAAAATATCAACTGAATACGAGGAGTTTTTAAATCAAAACAAAAGTATAAAGCAAGAAATCGACTTATTAAAGTAAAGATAAGTTTTAAGAAATTTTTTATTATTTTTAATATTTAATATTTACGTTTCTTCTTTTTATAACTCATAATTGCAATAGTTTTTTGTTTAGAATTTTCAATTTATTTATTGGAAAACTATTGGTAAACATTTAAAATGAATTTTTCTAATTTTATCTAATTTGTTTATATTTTTGCAAGCATTAAATAATTTCTTAATCAACTAAAAAAATAAAAAAAGAAAAAAAAGTAATTTAGAATGTCAGAAATTCACTTAATTTATTTTTTTTTATGGCTTAAATATCTAATAAAATACAAATAAATTAAAGTAAATCATAAATCCCTTATATTTATAATCAAATTAATTACTTAATTTATTCCGAATAGTTTAAAACTTTATTTATATTTTGTTTACATTAAAATCCCATTAAAAAACAACCACAAATAGCCATAAATCCACTCCTCCAACTTTTTTTTATATTAATATTGGCCAACAATAAACAAGATATATTAACAATTAAATGCAGAAGGTGGGTAGAAGGCCAAAATGGAGGCTCAGCGAAGCGAAAAGTTTGATAAAATTGTTCACATATCAAATGCAAATAAACGAAAGCCAAATAAAAACGTGTCCACACAAAGGCAAACACAAAAAAAAAAGGAAATAAAGTTAAACGATTCGAATTTCCCGCAGAGAATTACGGCAGTATATAAAACAGGGATTTAGTGCACATATCAAAATAATCCAACAGAAAGCTGGCAACACAAAATAAAGTTTACAACTTTAACAGGGAATTTTTGAAGAAAATTGTATAAAGTTTAAGACAAAATAAATATCAATAAAATATAGAGAATAACAAATTTGTTAAATAATTAAAAAACACATATTAAAAAATTATTAAATATTAAAATAATATTATATATTAAAATGTTTAAAAAATATTAAATTTTAAAATATTAAAAAATATTAAATATTTAAAAAATATGAAATTAAAAAAATATAAAATACTTAAATATTTAAAAAATATCAAATATTAAATTATTACAAAAATATTTCCCATTTTTAAAGCACAAAAATATTTCCTCTTTTAGTTATTTTTTAAATACCTGTAAATATTTGAATAAAAAACCAAGAAAATACATATTTTTTTCAAGCTACAAAAATCGTAAATAACTAAAAACCTCTTTGCGATACACATATTTGCCATCATCAGACATGAATCAATTTAATGAAATAAAAATGTCAGAGGCAACAGGTTGTCGCTCCTTTCCTTATTGGCTTACGGGTCGTATGAGTCATCTGCGACGCAAGGCACAAGGATTCCAAGGATACCCATTCTCTTCCTTCTAACTTCGAAGCCATGGCCATGGACCCTCTTATAATGCCTTTGGCTGGTCGCATTTAATGCGCGTTAACTTCATAAGGTTATTGAATTTAACCCCCCTTCCTTCCGTTCTTCCTTCCCATTTACTTCGAAGGCGTCTCTCATAAATTAACTTTGACTTTGACAGCATAAAAGACATTACGCATACGACCCATCAGCCGGAAAGTGAAGCGTGGTTGAGAGGATGAAAATGAGAGGAAAAAGGGACTTGGGCTGCAAAAGGAAAACGCCCAAAAACGGAAGCAGTTCAGAAATTCTAGTTTTAAATTGGGATTCCATAAATTATTTATAGCAAGAAAAGGTTTTACAGAAATTTATAGGAATTTTATAAAGATTTTTTTTTTATAATTTACAGAAATTCATAACAAATGTTTAATAGATTTTTTTATAAAATATTTTATACAATTTTTATTAATGAAATAATTTATAAAATATTTTATAAAATGTCTCTGATTTTTATAATTAAAATAATGAAAAGCTAGAGGAACTTTGCTCAGTCTGCAAATATTTTATATTATTAAAAATTTTAAAAATAATACCTGGGTATTCTTAAAATCCCAATAAATGTGTTAAAAAAGTAACAAACTTCTCTCCTACCACCAACATGTTTCATTTTAAACCCCGAAAAATTCCTCTCATATTTAAAGAGCCTTTAATGCCCTAGGACTAGGACATGAATATAGAATAAAACATATTTTTATTTATGACTGGGCATAAGAATTGTGAAAAAAAAAGAATAATAATAAAAGCAGAAGAGCGGCAGCAAAAAATAATAATCATAATAATAATAATACGTAAAAAGTTTTATGGCTCGACGGGCGCACAAATGAAAAATTGGTTTTACACGCCATTCTCAGTGCCCGACGATGCCGATGCCGATGAGGATGATGATGATAGGGATGATAGCAACGATGATAATGGGCATGATAATGCCTGGTTTCCCAAGGGGGCGTGGCAGCAGCAGGGAGGGTGGTCCAAAGGATGAGGACAACCAGCTGTTCGTTTGGGATGTGGGCTGTGAAATTCTGGCAAACAATGTCCATGAATTATGATTATTGGCGGCCATTTTGCGATAATGTCACACATACATGCATGCATATACATGCTCACGCACGCACACGCATGCAAATGGCAATTCAATCGATGACCCCCTCACAGCTGGAAACAGACGCCCCTGCCCCTGCCCCTGCCCCTGTCCCTGTCCCTGCCCCTGCTCCTCCCTTTGGCCACAGATTAGGCGATTCAATGACGAGATTTAATGCCCCAAATTGGTTAACTGCTGTCTTGGCCCAGGCATTTTTTGGGTGGGTTTCAATTTGCGATATAGGTGATTTAGTAGGGAAAATTATATAACATTGAAAACATTAAAAAAAAGGCAAATTTTCCTAAATGGGGGCTTAATGCAGGGAAATTGATGGGATTTATGGGAATATATAAAGAAATTAAACAAGATTTATATTTAGCCAACTTTTAACTTTAAAAATATTTAATAAAATTTTATTTTCTATATTATTATATATATTCTATATTCTTTCTAAAAAATATTAATTGTAATTGTAATTAATCCCCTTTCTAAAAAAAAAAAAAAATTATTAAAAATAATTTTACTATTTTGTTATATATTCTATATTTTATCTCAACAATAACAATAAAAGCTTATATATACAGCTTTTTATACTTTTTTTATATTTTTTATTAATATTTTTGTATATTTTTCCTTAAAACCAACTCAAGTTCAAAGGAAAAACAATATATTATTCTATTATTATACCACAATTTCCATCAAAATAAAGTAAATAAAACACGCTTAGCTACATAATTTAACAAATAATAAGTAGTATTAATATTTTAAAATGTTTTAATTTTATAAAACACTCACTAATTTCTACTTGCTAAGTATCCAAAGCAATAAAAATCAATTATTATGCAATAAGCTCATTAGGAAGCGGGGCATTTGGGCCATCGGCCATGGTGGCCTCCACTTTATTGGCCTCATTAAACGCACTCGAAAAGCGCAAAACTCCTCACCTCTCTGCCACTTTTCCGCTCTTTCCACTCACCACACAGCCACTCTGAGGCTGAGGAGAAATTCTGGAAATGAAATGAAATTGTGCTCATGATTGCGATTACGGTTATGACTGCCGTAGGGGAGAGTGTTGGGGCAGAACTTTTTTTTTTTTTTTTTTGCCACAAGGTTCGTTAAACGCAGTTGCACCGCACATACATATATAAGTATATATATGTATGTACCTATATACCCCCAACATCCGCCCGATCTAATTACCAAGCAACTGCAGCAAATGTAGTAGAAGCAACAGCATCGAAAAATGAAAATTACTCTGACGAAAA